TTGGGTGCAAAGCTTCCCCTTCCCCAGCACCCCCATTTTACTGCCCCAGCACGCAGAGGACAGGTGATGCTGCAGCAAAGCAAGGACACTCCATGGCATGGCTGTGCCAGGCTGCTCCTGCACGAGCTCTTTGCTTTGGGGCACAGTCCTGTGCCACTCTCCAGCTTTGGCCAGGACACCTCTTAGCCCTGCAGCAGCTGGGAAGCACCAGGGTGCAAGAAAATGGCCTTTTGGGCTCCTTGCAGCCTGGAGAAGACACCAGCAGAGCTTCCACCAGCTCCAGCCCCAGACTGGTGACTTCTTTCCTCGCTGACACCCCCTGCACGTCCCTGCCATGGCTGAGGATGTGGGGTTTGAGGTCATACTGGTCACTAGGAGCCAGGTCTGGGTCAGGCTCTGCTCCCTGCTTTGCCTGGGCACTGCCAGGGGTGGCTGACAGACCTTCCCAATGTGCTGCAGCCCAGCCTGGGGGCTGGGGGAGCCTCTGGCAGGCAACAGAGAACACGACAGCACCGAACTGTGGAGGGTGGGGATGAGAACTCAGCCTGAATCCCCCCCCTCCAGCATCCTGGACACGGCCTCTGGAGCAGGGAGGGTGCCCTGGAGAGGCTGCTCACAGCTGGGCTGCAGCCAGGGCCCCTGGGGACCCTGCGTGGGAGGAAGGCTTCAGAGCAGCTGGGGGGCTGAGCTCAGCTCCTCCCAGGGCTCCAGCTCACGGCAGCTCTGAAATGCTCAGCTCCAGGTGCTGGAGCAGCCCAGCCACGGCCTCACACGGACTGGCCTGACCCTGCCTGCTGAAGCTGTGGGAGGAGACCTGGGAGCTGCCCAAGAGACTGCTCCAAGGTTCCCTCCAGCCCCTCAAGTGCTCAGTTAAGCTGGCTTCTAGGATTTGCAGGTGTTAAGAACAATATTCAGGCCAGATCTTTAAACAAATGGGGCTTCTACCCACCCCATACCATCCCACCCCACTCCATCCCATCCTTGGGGCAACAGTCACCCTTTCAAAGCCTTCTGCACTAGCTGACAGTGCCACCACGACAAGCACCAAAAAGAAGGAGTGCTGGTCTCACTGAGACTGCCTGTGCATGGTGACTGTGTCTTAACTGTGAAGCAGCAGCACAGCCCTCTGTTTAACTAGGAAGTTAGGAATTGCCCTTAGCCCCCTAATTCCAGAAGCTGGAGATCCAAAGTAGCTGAATGAGGTGGGAATCAACAACTGGCAGCACAGATACGAGTGCTGCAGGATTCCTGGTGCCTGGTGCCCCAGCACTGGGGCAGGTAAGAGCTTAGACCCCACCAAAATCAACCCACAGCCAGAACCATCCCATGCTCCAGGGGCACTTGGCTCAAACCTTCTGGCTGAGACCTCTGCCCCTCGTCCTGGCCATGCTGTTGGTCTCATCTGTGGAGGGGAGCGAGGAGTCGCTCTGCCCTGTGCTTCTAAACGGCCAAGATGGGGAAAAAAAAGAGGAAAAAAGGCAAAAATATCCCACCCCACCCTTCCCAGGGAGCGGAGGAGGCCAGCACTGTGTCCTGGAGTGACACCACCCTGCCTTGCCTTGGCTCTGCTCCACCCCAGCACATCCCTGGCATGCTCCAGGCTCGGCCGAGCTGCTCCTGCACCAGCCTGGGGGGTCCTCCCCCCCCCCACAGCTGGGACTGCGTCACCCCAGGGAGAAGACCCCCCCTCAACGAGGGGACATTCAGGTTGGGAGGTTTAAGTCTGGTGTGGAAACTAGGAGTGGAGCAGGAGTCTGGCCCTCTGTGCTGGAGGGTCACAAGTTCTGCAGGTCTTATCCTTGGTGGGCAATGTGGCCACTTCCCAGCTCATCTGTGCACAACAAACCCTGAGGCTGATGCTTCTGACCAAGAAAGGA